ATCCATTTCCAATTAGTCCAAGACGTAATTACAAAGATAAAAGGAACGAGTATTCTATGTTAATAGTAAAGGTCATTTTTATTCAGGTTTATTGTTTAAAATGATAGTGCACGTAAAATTAGAATCGATTAATTCGACTAATAACTTTTTCATACTTATTGTTGACTTTGCATTATATTAGTGGGGTTCAACTTGCTCATATTCGGTGAGAATTGTTAATCGTTTAGCTTGAGTTGGTCATTTACATGATTATATTCTAGCTATCTTGCATTTCCATCGTACTATTACTCACGGCGGTGCATACTGATTTATTGCGTTTGCCGCTCAATCACTCTGCGTGGGCTGATTAATCATATTTGGCGTTATCACTGTGAGCCGTCCACGAGTCCCTGTTAAATCAACTGTACAAATAGCTCCCGTAAATGTCTGATTCCACGGAAGGAACTTAGTCTAGTACTTTGCCATTGCGCAACCCACGTGTTCAGCAGACAACGAAACGAAATAGCCGAAAGCCCACTCGCGTCATATTAATATCTTTCATCACCATGGCGAATAACTCTCATCAATACAAATGTCAGTGTCAGGATGAGCGAGTAACGCGAGTTATCGTTACGATGTCATTCCGAAGGAAATATAATTTGACATTCGACCGTATAATGAAAATGACGTTACGGTCATTTAGTGATGTCGCCGAACTATGACACAATAATGAGGCGCCATAAATGCTCCGAAAATTGGCTATAAAGACCGATTAGTGTCGGTCTGTGAATTATTTATGTACGTCCAAAGCCACCCGGTGATTAATCCCAGTGAAATTGTCGCCGTTAAAAATATTTCGAGTCATTAAAATGCAGTTACCCGTATTAATCTGAAAGGTAATAATAGGTGATCAAATTTCTCCGATACAGGATGATCGTTTCTAATTTTCGACAAGTGCAACGTAATAATAGGTGATCAAATTTCTCGAATAAAGGATGCTCGTTTCTAATTTCAGGCGAGTTTCTCACGCAACGACAGAATTGGGACAAGTGGCTAATTAAGTGAGGAGCTATAATCGGTTCAACCGCAAATATATGCTCACCTTTTTCTGCCCGATTTACCGTCACGAACGATATGAGTCGCCTCTTATCACGACTGCACGCGCTGCCCACTTACGCGTACATTCGAAATGGAAAAATGAAACCTCCCCTTCCTCTGTCTACACAATCGAGTTTGTGAACGCGAAATAAAGCAAAGTAAATTTTCCACGGCGTCGCGCAATTGGCGAGGAGGCAAATGGTACAACTTTCCGCGACTGCAGATGCATTGACATTTTTCCTTCGGTCCGACGATCAAGCGCACTCGCCGCTATCTTTTATCAATATCGTGCGCGTTCGCAGCCTCCACGAGCGGAGCAACCAAAAAATGTAAAAAAATCCACTTAAATCGTATAAAATTTTGAGTTAATAATATCAATTCGATTAGATAAAAATAGTTAACATTCTCAATAATTATGAAAAAAATATAAAAAAATCCACTTAGATCGTATAAAATTTTTAGTTAATTATATCCATTCTCTTAGATAGAAATAGTTAACATTTTCAATCATTATGAAAAAGAAAGATTATCGCTATCTTTCATCAATATAGTGCGCGTTCGCAGCCTCCACGAGAGGAGCAACCTAAAAATATAAAAAAATCCACTTAGATCGTATACAATTTATAGTTAATAATATCAATTCTCTTAGATAAAAATATTCAACATTCTCAATCATTATGAAAAAGAAAGATTATCGCTATGTTTCATCAATATCGTGCGCGTTCGCAGCCTCCACGAGCGGAGCAACCTAAAAATGTAAAAAAATCCACTTAAATCGTATAAAATTTTCAGTTAATAATATCAATTCTCTTAGATAAAAATAGTCATCCTCAATCATTATGAAAAAGAAATATTACCCTTATCTTTTATCAATATCGTATGCGTGCGCAGCCTCCACGAGTGGAGCAACCTAAAAATGTAAATAAATCCACTTAAATCGTATAAAGTGTCCAGTTAATAATATCAATTCTCATAGATAAAATTAGTTAACATTCTCAATCATTATGAAAAAGAAAGATTATCGCTATCTTTCATCAATATCGTGCGCGTTCGCAGCCTCCACGAGCGGAGCAACCTAGAAATGTAAAAAAATCCACTTAAATCGTATAAAACATTCAGTTAATAATATCAATTCTCTTAGATCAATATATTCAACATTCTCAATTATTATGAAAAAGAATGATTACCTATGAATTTTATTACAACTCGCAGGGAACAAGTGGTTGACTGGTGATTAGGATCTGTTCGCGGCAGCTTGGAGTACCTAGTGAACTAGATCGTAGTCGAAGACAAACGGAATCGAGGCTGGGGGCCAATGAATACGATAAGTGCGTACATACGATTATACACACTTTTACGGCCCCACTATCGACGCAAGGCTCATTGTCGCCCGATTGCCACGTAATGACGATCACGTGCTCGTCATTTGCCCCGTCCACGTGCTGCCTGTACGAACATCTACATCGAGCTGCGTGATTTCCCGTACCTCCTGGGCTTTCTTCAAGGCTGCTGCACACCATCACGTGCGACCTGCACTTGTGCAGTCATTCAAGTGGAGCGCCGTGATTTTCCCTGCCGAGTTAACCAATTACTGCCAATGGCCGAGAGGTGCACCCATTAGCTGCCAATCGGGTCAGCTCGCAAAGCAACTGGTCGTAATCGGTTACTACCGACCGACAAATTCCCTCTTCGGTCCATGAAAAGTGGATAGGTGATAAACGACGCGATAGCGCCCGTCATCGATCAGGGGTGATCGTCAGGGCTATTGAGATCAAGATGACGCATTCGTGATAAGGTCTACCGTCAAAATGGTAATATGTAAATTTCGGATGTTTTTTTTTTTTACTTTTCAAGGAATTCGCTCTTATTTATAATTTGCATTCATAATCAAAGTGAGATCTTTTTAGCCTATAAATTTAGTTGGCATATTGATTTTTGAAAATAAGGGACTCTTGCTGGGGCGTTGAAAAATGTTTACAGGTCGAAGTGTTGGTCATTTCTATTAATAAGAAGGATACTGGGGATTCCTAGGAATACTTTGAAATTTCTGAAATTGATTACGTCGCAAATTTGTGCGATTTTGACGGGTCTAAAGTTGCCGCGATTGATAAGGGAAGGGAAGAGATAATTTAGAATTAATTAATAAAGGTGATTTCTGTTAATAAGACGGATACTGAGGATTCATAGGAATACTTCAAAATTTCTAAAATTGATTAAGTCGCAAATTCGTGGGATTTCGGCCGGTCTAAAATTGCCGCGATTGATAAGGGAAGGGAAGAGATAATTCAAAATTAATTAATAAAAGTGATTTCTATTAATAAGACGGATACTGAGGATTCCTAGGAATACTTTGAAATTTCTAAAATTGATTAAGTCGCAAATTTGTGCGATTTCGGCCGGTCTAAAGTTGCCGCGATTGATAAGGGAAGGGAAGAGATAATTTAGAATTAATTAATATAAAGGTAATTTCTGTTAATAAGAAGGACACTGGGGATTCGTAGGAATACTTTGAAATTTCTCAAAATTGATTAAGTCGCAAATTCGTGCGATTACGGCTGGTCTAAAGTTGCCGCGATTGATAAGGGAAGGGAAGAGATACTCTTATGGGGAAAAGAGGTCCGCTATCGCGACACCGTGCAAGCTTTATTTGTTCAACAATATCCAGCTCGAGTCCGCGTGTATCTGGATGTACGAGATCATCGGCTAGAGCCGATAAAAGAGGCCATTACGTCCGGCGTCATACGATCACATGTGAAACGAGCCCCCTTCACGTGACAACGTTATCGGACCCAGTGGCGCTCATTGGACCCCCTCGTCGACCCCTTAACGATCTCAAAACTCCATAATTGGCAGATAAACTGCCAACCTATTTCTAAAAAATCCGATGAATCCTGTACCGAGCTATACGAACTTAAATTATTAGAAAAAAACTGTAGGAAACAATTACTGTTCCTAACCGTGTCAGAAATCAATTCCGATAAATCAGGGCGCGAATATAGCATTTCTGGGAAGAAGTGTGCCTAAATGCCGAGGCCAAGGTACACGGAAATATTTAAATGCGGTATCTTGTTATTATTTAATTAACCCAGATAGCGGTGACGTGGGCAGCTTCAGGTCGCGGCGCCAGCATAACTCAAAAGCCTATTTTGTGGACCGTGGAATTATCGCGCGACCCTTATCTTTCGTGCTCCCTGGGTGATTCTCGATCCCAATGTTTGATCCCCGATTATTCCCGCGTCTGTTATTTCGGAACACGATCTTGCGTGTGCCGAGAGCGAGCGCGTATCGCTGCGAGTTGAGTAACTCGAGCGTCGCCTATCGCGGTAATTGCGATCCCGGCTGGGGAGCGGGAGGGAGAGAGAGGGAGCGCTAGGCGCCCCCGCGGGTGCGAGAGAGAGGCAGCGATCGGGACTACCGGAGTCAAATGCGCGCGCAGGTCCCGTTCCTTTTTTTCCCGCCAATGGTAGGTAGCTATATATGACGTCACCGGAATAAATCTTGCCACTCAGCTGACGGCATTCGGAAGCCGAGTAATCGGGACCTCCCTCTCGCTCTCTCGCCTCCTTCCTTCTTCTTCTTCTTCTTCTTCGAGGTCTAAGGTACGCTCTTGCCGGCACTTCCGGCGCCCTGCTAGTCTCCTTTGACGCCCTTTACGGTCCGAGCCTCTTTCCCATATTCCCTCTGACTTCGAAGTGCAGGTACTTCGCGCTCTAAAGCATATTTCCAAGCGCAATTACCACGCGTAAGAGGCCTGTAGTAATTCCGGGTATATTAATTGAATTAACGGGTCGTTCTTTTTTTCATTTCGGGGCATAAGGCCGACAATGCGGCGAGCTGTAAGAGTACGTTCTGCGCGCGTCATCAATGGCGGCCGGTCTCTGGTAGGATCGTGGTGACGTTTGATTTTAACGAGCCTCGTATCGCGCCGAGCGGGAGTAATGAGAGAGTTTAATGAGGATCGTTCGTCGATGTCCTCGCGGGCTTTTCGAGCGCATTTACGATACGTTTACGAGACGCGGCCGCGTCGGGCTTGTCATACGGCGTGATATAAGCCCGCGGTAAGAGTGCCCGGCGCCACACCGGGACGCCAATTAGCACCGATCGATCGCTGCCGATCGATCGATCGAGGACCCCGATACAGGCTTATTCGGGTCTACTGAAAAAGATTAAGCTTTTTTCCTTCGCTTGCAGACACCTCTGCATCAAGATGCTCGACAATTTGGAACAGATGCCCAAGAGCGACACCATCAAGCTGCGCGAAAGACACATCGGGTAAGTGAAAAAGAAAATGTGGAAATTATTTAATAGGAAATTAATCGTTCATTGATTTGGGTTTTAATTCGTCATATAGATGGGCTTTTGTTGGTAATGTGACTTAATTCTCATTTTTTCGTCGAAGGGACTGGATATGTGAATCAATTTTTAATGGATGTCGTACGTGAGTATTAGGATCAAGATCGTGAGGTGTCGTCAAAATTATTTGTTAGGGGCAGTGTCGTCAAAATTATTTGTTAGGGGCAGTCATCAAAATTATTTGTTAGGGGCAGTGTCGTCAAAATTATTTGTTAGGGGCAGTGTCGTCAAAATTATTTATTAGGGGCAGTGTCGTCAAAATTATTTGTTAGGGGCAGTGTTTTTCTTTTAGTTGGGATGTAAGTGTGCTTTCGTGGTACGGTTTTGTAGAAATGTTGCAAGTGATAAGTGCGTCGTGGAATCGTTGTTTTCCACTGATGGAGGATGTATTAGACACTAATTACGCTCAAGAATGTAGAGAAAGTTTGTGATTACTATCAATGGTCATACCGTAATTCTCCTCGGTAGCATACCTGCGTAAGTATGAGTACTTTATTGACAAGTGAATTAGGAATAGAATCTTTTTACTTTTCCATGTCGAGGTATCGAAGTTAAGGTAACGTTATTCGAGATGACTGGAATAAAAGTTACCGTAGTTACTTATTGCGCGGGAATGAACTTATTCAAAATAATTTTAACGTATCTATACAAATAGTTGATCACCGTTTTCTGCGTATTATTATATCATGGTATCGATAAATATTCATATTCGTATAAAAGTTACACATTTCATGAATTTCTTTGTCAAGAGGAGCGACTTCGCTTATCAATTGTGACTATTAAGGGTTTAAGGAGATTCTCGGACAAACATGTAAATTTTCCATTTTTGATTACTCGCTGTTTGCGGGGGTAGTTGATTTTGAGGTTTATTTAGATATCTAGAGCTCTTTAGATCTCTCTATTCTTTGTCAAGAGGAGCAATTTCGCTTATCAGTTGTCTCTTAAGAGTTTAAGGAGATTCTCGGACAAACATGTAAATTTTCCATTTTTGATTACTCGCTGTTTGCGGGGGTAGTTGATATTGAGGCTTATTTAGATATCTAGTTGAACTTTATCTTCAAGCCTGAGCTTAGATAAATTTTATACATTTCGGAAAACCATTTAAAGGTCTATGCTGCGAGTCGCGAATTCGACGATTGCAGACTCCTCCAATCTCCAAGGTGGTTTAATGGCCACTTTTACGAAGGAACTTTACGGCGTCGAAGTTCGCCTGTTTAATTCGTAGGAAGTTTTATCGTACTATTTATTGGACCAAGACTGAATTACAGCGTGCAACCATTGTGTAATTTTCCAGAAAACACGTGAACGAAAAGTGCTCTCCAAATCTTTGTATTCGCGTAATGGATATCGAGAAGTCCTTCGACATTCTCTGTTACAAAACTCATGAAAAAATATCTGAAATTAAAACAGTCTATTATCCTGCTGAATAAATTGCAGAACTATCACGGAATTTCACGTAGGAAATAATTCATACTGTACCAGCAATATTTTTACATTATTTACAAAAATTATCTACCACGAAAACTGGACTTTTAGAGGTCGCAGTATTCTCCCGGTCTGCGGACTTTTCCGAAAAATGTCCCCGCGTAATTTCCATCGCTTATTCCCGCCAGAGAATGTCGGAAACCGCGACTCTTTTTCATCCCTCATGAACGGCAGAATTATCAGGGCATATCACGTAGGAAATAGTTCATTCTACGCTAGCAATATTTTAAACACATGTATGAAAATCATATACCACGAAAACTGGGCTTTTAGGATCCGCAGTTTTCTCTCGGTCAGCGGACTTTTCCGAAAAATGTCCTCGCGTAATTTCCATCGCTTATTCCCACGAGAGAATGCCGGAAACCGCGACTCTTTTTCATCCCTCATGAACGGCAGAATTATCAGGGCATATCACGTAGGAAACAGTTCATTTTACGCTAGCAATATTTTAAACACATTTATGAAAATCATATACTACGAAAACTGGGCTTTTAGGACCCGCAGTTTTCTCTCGGTCAGCGGACTTTTCCGACAAATTTCCTCGGGTGATTTCCATCTGTTATTCCCGCGAGAGAATGTCGGAAACCACGATTCTTTTTCATCCCTCGTGAACGGCAGAATTATCAGGGCATATCACGTAGGAAATAGTTCATTCTACGCTAGCAATATTTTAAACATATTCATGAAAATCATGTACCACGAAAACTGAGCTTTCAGGGCCCACAGTTTTCTCTCGGTCAGCGGACTTTTCCGAAAAGTTTCCTCGGGTGATTTCCACCGCTTATTCCCGCGAGAGAATGTCGGAAACCACGATTCTTTTTCATCCCTCATGAACGGCAGAATTATCAGGGCGTATCACGTAGAGAATAGTTCATTCTACGTTCCCAATATTTTTATATTATTTATACAAACTATCTACCACGAAAACTGGGCTTTTAGAGCCCGCAGTTTTCTCTCGGTCAGCGGACTTTTCCGAAAAATTTCCTCGGGTGATTTCCACCGCTTATTCCCGCGAGAAGGTGGTCGGTGGGGACGGTGGCTCTTTTTCATCCCCCAACTTGGCGAGTTAGGGGGAAGATTTACGTGGGTCCAATTCCACGGGGCGTAAAGCGCGTTTCCATGGCGGTTAGCTCATTATCATGTTAAACGGTTCCGCGAGTGCTCCACCGGTTATCGGACGTCGCTCGGGTCATCCGATAACACGGTGACATCGTCGAACTGATCGCCGAGGTCGATTAGCATATTATCGCGGCCACCCCGCCGAATTTTCGATAAAATTCCACGTTGACCGGTATCATCCTGCGTGGATGTATATCGCGACAATGACTGATCGCGATGACAACCGTTCCTTCGGGCTTTGTTTTATCTGCGCCAATAATACGACTGTCAGCTGATACTGACGCCACCGAGTTAATGATGCCGAAAAACAACGAAAGAGCCACTTTTACGTTTTATCTAAGCCTTGATGATTTAGGGCCGGTAATATATCAATTTTGGAAAATATTACACTTTTTAATCGGCCCGATAAGGACGCAGTGGAATGACCACACACGAGTGTTGCGTTATTTTTGACTGTTACATACTTGTCAATGTCGTTGGGAAAAAGTGAATTGGACTCCCCGTGATGTATGAACTACCTGTCGGTTATTTGTTTTATTGCGGCCAATAATCCGATTACGAAGTGATAGGGACGTCGGTGTTCCGGGCTGAATATATAAAACGATGTTTTCTACATTTCAACGATACTTTAATAAATATATTTACCGTTCAATAAAAGTTGAATAGAAAAATGTGTTTCCTTTGTACAGGCATTCCTGCAAGTTGTTCTACAGATCCAATCCGCTTAAGATCGTCAGAGCCGAGGGTCAATACATGTACGATGAGAATGGAGAACGTTATTTGGATTGCATCAACAATGTAGCCCATGGTAATATTTTATTTCTAAATATTTAAAAGTAACACCGAGTATCGCTAGGAGCGGCGACTGATCTTAAAATGATCACTTATGTTGTCATTCAGTCAGTATATGATTTTCTTTTCTATGTATTAAGTTTCACGTGCATCTTAATTCTTGACTCCTCGCCAGTAGATGAAGTTACGTAAAGTGCGAACTAACTTAGAAGCCCCTTTGCCAACAGCTCTCGTCATTTTGCAATCGATGACCCCCAGGTCATCAGGGGCTGCTTTAGCACTTTGTACTCATCTCGGATAAGTCTTAGACTTAGCTCCATTTCTTGATACCGACAACCATTTCCGATTATCTCACAATTTATGGACAATGACAGATATCTAGATGAAATATTGGTCATTAATCACAAGGACACAATAGCCGCGAAGATGTTGCTACGTGTAACCATAAATATAAATCCACGGTTATGATAAAATATTGCTAATAACTCGTTGCCGTCTTCAAGGTATTCCTTCGCAAGTCTCTAGTTCATTTGATTATATTATCGAAGGCCTTCAAGAAGCGCAATCGATGACATAATCGCTTTGGCTGCCGGGTTAAAAATAGTTTTAAAAAAATTCTAGTTTCTTACGGTTCTTAAATTAATTCCCCGAGAAGTAACCAGCTCACAACTGGGCGGCCAAGAAAATACTTTGCATAAATCAGCGAGCAATTAATTTTAATGACATGTACTTAGACATCATTTAACGGATAACGCAACCGGTAACGTTGAGCAGGTTTCAATAGTTACGGAAACACGTGTCCTTAAAGCTTTATCGCCGTACTTGAAAGAATTTCTTGTATTAATACATTATTATCGCATTCTTCGGTATGCACACACATAAGAAGGTGCAAGTGAAAGGAGCAACGTCACAGAATATAGCGCACAAACGACGTATAACATAATTTTAGCAATTTTTATCAGTTATGAGGACCTTACTCCGCGAGTAATATCGTTGTTACAGTGAAACACCGAAATCTGGAGAATGTCGACTTTCACTGGTGAATGTCAACATTCACATAATCGCTTCCTGTATGTCCGAAATATTTGCTAAATACCCTTATTTCTGACTTACACCGGTAAATGTTGACATTCACCGGTGTGTGATTGTCGACACACACTGGAGAGGGTCCGAATGTACAACAATGTAATGAAATATTCGATCTTTCACCGACGTATTTTGTATTTGTTGACATTCACCGGTGAAAGTCGCCATTCTCCAATTTCGGTAATTCACGGTAACATCGTCATTAATCAACGATCTCGGCCATTGGTACGTGAAATTCTAACGTTAAATATTGATGATTCCGCAGTCGGTCACTGTCATCCTCACGTCGTCCGAGCCGGTCAGCAACAAATGGCCCTGCTGTCGACTAACAGTCGATTCCTACATGACAACCTGGTGACATGTGCTCGCCGGTTGACCTCGCTGCTTCCGGAATCATTGTCGGTCTGCTTCCTGGTGAACTCCGGAAGCGAAGCGAACGACTTGGCCCTGCGCCTAGCGGAGGCGCACACGGGCCAGAAGGACGTCATCGTTTTGGATCAGTAAGTTGTCGGTGTACAAGCGACTGTGAAGCCCGTCCAAGAAGATCCAAAGGGACCAACGCGATACGTCCGTCCTCCTTCCGCGGCAGGATCCGAAAGATGCAAGGACATCCTGAAGTGACCCTTCAGGGCCCTTCCTGCGATTCGCCGTTTCGCTTCTTCGCTCGCGCCTCCACCCTATAAGCGATCTCGCTCGTTTCTTTCGTCCCCGGGAAATCCGACTAATTTCTAACGATCCCCCGATTAATTCCATTCCTTTCCGATTCCCCAGCAAAAACTGAGGAATATTCCTAACCACCGTATCGTGACCAGGAAATGTTTCATGTACACTTTCGTAAAAACGAAACTCGTGGAGAGGGAGAAAATCGGCTTCGTAAATCTCGCTTGGATCGTGAATGGCTGGGAAACGAATGAATGCGCACTTTTTATGAGATTTCCTGGACAGCCAACGAAAGGATCGCGATCCTCGACGATCTTTGTGACGGACGCTGATATCGCCCCGATACACCTGACATTGCTTCTTATCAGACTTTGCAGCAGGAGACACTTCCAGAGTGCAAGACTAATCAATGTGGGTCTCTTTTTTCCTGTTTACAGCGTGCCTTGAGAAAAGGAGGATGCCACGAGGTAAACCGCGAACCCTACGGCGAAGGACGACCGCACGCGTTTCCCTTCCGCCTTGGCGGAAGCGGATCACCCCACATAAATCCTCTTGTCATTTTAGGTGACACGCACGCACGACGATGTATGTGACGTATGCTATAGACAAGAACCCGTCATTCCGTTTCCCGTTCGGTACTCAGGTGGTCCGGATGTTCCGGACCAGTTCGGGATCGAGTTAGCGAGAATGCTGGCGTGGTTTGATTCCCAACAGGTCGATAATCAGGATGCACATCCTGGATATCTGTGTGGTATCTGCGACGAAGCATTAAATTCAACGTTTTGGAAAGTACCTATTAGACGTACCTAGGAATTAAAGGGAGGGAATTAAAGAAAGCGCGCGGGCATTCTCGATGATCGCAATGACGACGATGATTTAGCGGAGATTTGTTGTTATGGGAACTCGACGTCCGGGAGAATTTCGGAATCTGCGAATGTAAATGGGCTCGTTGTAAGTTAAGTAAGAAGTGTACAGATGTATTATAGGTAATTCCAGGTGGTAAGTGAAATTTCAGAGTGGTCTCAGGGGAGAAGATGTATTTAATTCGCGGTTTTATGGGGTGGCCAATGGCGGAGATTCCGAAGTTTCACGGATGCGAGGGTCCTGGCGAAGTGCTCTCGTGGGGATCAGCCATTTCAGCGGACACCTCGCGCAAACTTGCAGACTCTGAAGTGCGAAAGCTCCAGGGATCTCTAATGTATCACCTTTCAGGCGCGCGATTCGTTCTTACAGAAATGTCCTCGAAGCTCACGATGTCGAGGTCCTCTCTCGTCTAATGATTAAGTCAGCTGACAAAACTGCGAGGAGCTGTCCTGATCGTGGGTCTTCTTCTTTTATAGCGCTTATCATGGACACCTGACCACGATGATCGACATTTCGCCGTTCAAGTTCAATCAGCCCAAGGGGACCGGGAAGAAGGACTGGGTTCACGTGGTAGGGAAATTATTTAATATTCGTAATTTGTAAAAATAAACGGATCGCGAGGGGTGTAGTAACTCTAGGTATCTTTCGAAATTTCAGGCACCGTGTCCGGACATTTATCGTGGTAAATACCGGGATGTGGATCACCCCGAAGAGGACCTGGGCGTGAAGTATGCCGAGGACGTGAGGAAAATCTGCAAAGATGTCAAAGCTGCCGGACGAGGAGTCAGAGCTTACATAGCCGAAAGCCTCGTGTCCGTGGGCGGACAAATTCTGCCTCCTAAAAATTATTTTAGGAACGTTTACAAGTGAGTCCAATTATCATTTTTTTTATCGGGCCACGTTACTACTAATCGAAGGTAATTTTCCGCAAGAGGTAACACGAGAACGGGTTGGCAAGACACAACGAATTGGCGAGACACGTGTTGGCAACTGTTATGCTTTCACCTCCTCGTCAGTCGAAAGAGCCAATTATCTCCAAGGAGAAAAATTATAACTTTAACAAAAGAACGTAGCTGCGATATTATTTCATAATTTCCAATTCATTGCTAAAATACGCGGAGGTTAATATTGGCCGACAAGACGTCGAATCGAAGGTTTGCACTATTTCGCGGGAACCGGGGTCGAGTTCAAATTGTCAATGTTTGACGCGAAGAGCGAATTTACGCAATTTAATCAATCATAAATATTATAGAGGGGTAGATGCGAGCAGGAGGAAAATCAGGATACGCGGAATCGAGGAGCTTTATATTCCCTGGAATTATTAACGGGGCTACAAAAAGCAGCTGAAATAAAATACAAATTTTTAATTTCACTCGAATTCTCATTAAAAATCGGTACATTCGATATTATATAGGTTTTATAGGTAAATAAATCCTAGATAAATTTGCGGCACTGGTCGGAATTTTTCTTTTCTGGATCCTTTTCAAATAGTTTATCAGAGAGCAATATTCGCCGAAGTTTCGCGATCTCTAGGAAGTATGTACGAAAGCAGTAGAAGAAAGTAGGAAGACGCGAGAAGTAAAGTACCTGGGCGACGTTTTGTCTCCCACTTCCTTCTCTCGAGTTAAGAGCCGTCGATGTTTCGCAAACTTCCCCTAAACTTTCGCGTTCTCTATGGCTCCTTGCAGATATGTTCGCGAAGCTGGGGGAGTGTGCATCGCGGACGAGGTGCAAGTCGGTTTTGGGAGAGTCGGCAGTCACATGTGGGCGTTTCAACTTTACGGGGAGGACGTCATCCCGGACATCGTGACTCTTGGCAAACCCATGGGAAATGGACACCCCGTGGCTGCGGTGGTCACCACTCAAAAGATCGCCGCCAGTTTCCGGGACTCCGGGATCGAGTATTTCAATACGGTGAGCATCCTCCGAGAAGAGAAAAGTGCAGCCCCAAAAACATTCCAGCATTATCACAGGCGGCTAAAAAGTTCCTACTCTCCTCCCTCCTAGAGAAATCGTCGACTGGACGCAATTTTTCTTGGTCTACGGCAATTCTTTTCCAATCAAAATTCATTCCTCGTTAACTTTCAATACGTTCCATCTCACATAGCTGCAGACCCACCCCCAACTTCAAGTAATTCGGTAGAGTTCATCAAAATATTCGGTTCATTTTCTAAGATATTCCCGAAAATTAACAAAACCAATCTCACGAACCAGAATCATTTCAGTCGATCGAAGCTAGTGATCGAAACGAGGATTCATTGGAAAATCAGGGAAAACGATTTCCATCTCTGAGAACCGATTGTCTTTGATTTTATATGATAAACAATTGCAATTTGGTAGCGAGGGCCTTCGGTCTTAAAATTGTGACGGTATCTTGATAATTTCAGACGATTTCCAGCTGATTTCCACATGATTTCGAAATCAACTTTAACGCTCGCGCGTTAAAGTCGATGATTTCCTGAATACCTCCTCGCATCGAAAAGTTCGTCCAATCGGAACGTTTTCGAAATCTAACCAAATGCGATCAGACGATTTTGTTCGCCAAACAAATTCTTTTCCGTATGTAGCATGACGTTTCTCGTTAAAAGATTAAGGAAATTTCTTTTTGCAAGGAAATGGGACGATTGAATTTAATGTGTAGAAGGGCCGGATTACTTTACTGGGAAATCAGCGAAAACGATTTCCATCTCTGAGAACCGATTGCCTTTGATTTTATATGATAAACAGTAATGCAATTCGGTAACGAGGGCCTTCGGTCTTAAAATTGTGACATTATTTTGATGATTTCCGACGATTCCAAAATGATTTCCACATGACTTCAAGCGTAAAGTCCATGATTTCCTGAGTGAATACCTCCTTGGATCGAAAGGTTCGTCCAATCGGAACGTTTTCGAAATCTAACCAAATGCGATCAGACGATTTTGTTCGCCAAACAAATTCTTTTCCGTGTGTAGCATGACGTTTCTCGTTCAAAGATCCAAGACATTTCTTTCTGCAAGGAAATGGGACGATTGAATTTAATGTGTAGAAGGGCCGACGGATTACTTTACTGGGAAATCAGCGAAAACGATTTCCATCTCTGAGAACCGACTGCCTTTGATTTTATATGATAAACAGTAATGCAATTCGGTAACGAGGGCCTTCGGTCTTAAAATTGTGACATTATTTTGATGATTTCCGACGATTCCAAAATGATTTCCACATTACTTCAAGCGTAAAGTCCATGATTTCCTGAGTGAATACCTCCTTGGATTGAAAGGTTCGTCCAATCGGAACGTTTTCGAAACCTAACCAAGTGCGATCAGACGATTTTGTTCGCCGAACAAATTCTTTTCCGTGTGTAGCATGACGTTTCTCGTTCAAAGATCCAAGACATTTCTTTCTGCAAGGAAATGTGACGATTGGAAATCCTTCGATTGGGGTTTAATTTGTAGAAGGGCCGACGGATTGCGGCGCGCTTTGGGGCAGCGATACGAAATACAGGAATCGGTTTCCCCGAAAGTTCGCCCCGGATTCCGTCGGCAGACTTTGTTAGCCAATTCCGCGAGGAAGGCCCTAACGAACCCAGACTTTGGGACGATGTTTGTAAGCCGCGATCGATAGAGGAGCCTCGGGTTCACCGAGCTCTGTACACGAGTACACGCGCGCCCGGAATATTCCCGGGTTCGCGAGTACACGCTCCACATGAGCCCGTGCACGTTCAACTGCACGGGGGTGCACGCGTGCATCCCTGGCCGGAATGTTGACTAATACGAGCGCATTGTGTGTACCATGCATTATGCACGCCGGCTTTATTTACGGGCCGGCCGTCCGATCAGTGCATTTATCGCTGTTTAACCGACATCGATCCTACTGTCTTGCTTGGCCCATTTACCGACACCTTTACGCGCGCGTACACGCACTTCGGCGCAATATTCATGATCCGGCATCTGCTAGAAGAGGATTTTGGATTACCGTCCACAGGCCTCTGGATTGAAATCCCTAAGCGAAGACGCACAGAGAAATGGGCACCTTACCGCCAAAAAATTCAATATACGGTATATCTCGATAAGAGAAATTTATATACGCATAAAATTTCATTACACTTTCTGTCATTTATCTTGCACCCTGTAATCAATTTAAATTGGGACTGAGTTCAAATTTCGTTTGTGCCGAAGTGATGTCTGAATTTATCAGAGCGGTATGACAGCGTTTTTTGAGATGATGGAACGGTGGGGGTTCGTGGCAATATTTTATTTAAGATGATGTGCGGGCAAATAATGGAGTATACGGTATAACCTTTAAGCTTTAGAGAAGACATATATAGGTAAAAGGAATTTCACTATAATTCCCGTAATTTTCTTTTTTCTTCTGTGCAATGAATTTAAATCGGGAAGGGTTTTATATTTTATTTAGGACGAAGCAATGACTGAATTTATGAGTGGGTAGGTGATAGCATAACATTTCATTACACTTTCTGTCATTTATCTTGCACCCTGTAATCAATTTAAATTGGGACAGAGTTCACATTTCGTTTGTGCCGAAGTGATGTCTGAATTTATGAGAGCGGTATGACAGCGTTTTTTGAGATGATGGAACGGTGGGGGTTCGTGGCAATATTTTTTTCAAGATTATGTGCGGGAAAATAATGGAGTATACGGTATAACCTTTAAGCTTTAGAGAAGACATATATAGGTAAAAGGAATTTCACTATAATTCCCGTAATTTTTTTTCTTTTTTCTGTGCAATGAATTTAAATCGGGAAGGGTTTTATATTTGATTTAGGACGAAGCAATGACTGAATTTATGAGTGGGTAGGCGATAGCATTTTTTGAGAAGATGGGACGATGGGGGTTTCGTGGCAATATTTTATTCAAGATGAAGTGCGTGCTAGGAAATTCAATTTCGGTAGACCGAGAATGTATGCGAGCGTCTTCGTAGGCTTACAGGTTGTGGTTTAAATTTTCCCCTGACGTTTTACTGCCCCTGGCATCCAGCGCGGTTGACATTTGCGAGCTGTAACGACGGTCTCCACCGTATAAAAGACATTCCCATCTTGGCGATGTGTAACGATCTTTATAACGTCGTTATTGAGCTCGAAAGCCCGTGGATTACGGTACAGTAACTAGTGGACGGCATTTGGAGATACGAGCATTTCTTTCCCCGTTTTCCGGATAATCTGATAGAAGAGTCGTAAACTTTTCGCGTCGAAACCATCTACCCTCTCATTTCCTTCTTAATGCCTCCTCCTTCCCGGCAGCTTGGTCAGACCAGCCATCGAGGGCTAAGAAGTTAATGATAAGGAAAGCTGCACATATAGATAGTACATCTGGACCAAAATAATGTCCGACATCTCGGGATTGTTCCGAAGAGCTCATAAATATTAGGAAAAATATTCAATCTTTTGCTTTAACTTTATTCGACGTATTTATATTTTCGTAATAAATCCTGGAATTTTATTTCTTTTTTTTTTTTGTTTTCAGTACGGAGGAAATCCAGTGTCCTGTGCCGTGGCGAACGCGGTGATGGACGTGATCGAGGGTGAAAAGCTTCAAGAACATGCCCTCAAGGTGGGAAAACACCTTCTGAGTAAGCTGAGGAAATTGTCCGAGGTCTGGCTTATCATCGGCGACATTCGCGGGGTTGGACTCTTCCTGGGGATCGAGCTGGTCCGCGACAGGACGAAGAGGACCCCTGCGATAGCGGAAGCTGAGTATGTGGTATCCAGACTGAGAGAGATGCGGATATTGGTCAGCAGAGATGGTCCAGATTGCAACATCCTGAAGCTGAAACCGCCCATGGTCTTCGGCATAGAGGACGCTGATCACTTCATCACCGCTCTTGACCAGGTGCTTCGAGAGATCGAAATTAACGCCGATGAGGTAACTAAATCTTCTCAACACTCGATCGTTATTTCTCAACGGTATTTACAGAATCTATGACGCGTCGAGCGTGTCGATTGGTTTTTTAATTATCACAGGTTAATAAGAGCCGTTAAGAGTTCCGTTATCAATTAATTACTAAGATTATCGCCTTGTTTATGTAACCGATTGCGGTTTTGTTTCAGTCTCGCGAGACCAGGAACACCATTTTTAAAGCGGTTATCTCAACAGTCGACATGGATGCGGAGACCGTTGCCAATCAGGCGAAGCCACAACTCATTCGGGCGAATTGATGAATAAATGCAAACGGAGAACAATTTCACTAGTGGAGTAAACCGCGCACTAAACCAATTTTGATCCGGATGTATTTCAGGTGGAAAAGCCGCAACGGTGACGATTATTCTGTAACACGCGTTTCGTTTCTTGCCCCCGTCGAAACATTTACCCTTGACTGGATATTAAATGTCCGAAGCGGTTGAGAATATTGTTAACTGTTAATTAATCGTCCATGAACATGAATTTCTCGATGCAGATGCTATGGAAATCTTATTTTTATTTTATGTGTATTTCAACCGCCGTACAACGTTGTAATTTCGAGCTCTCTGTGTAACATCTGTTAATAACTGCGCGAATTTAATGAAGCTGTAAATAAAAATTTATATAGGATTAAAGATCTGTAAATAAGTAAGTTAGTATGTACTTGAATAGATTTAGAATTAAATGAGTAGAATTATAGAGTTAGGCATGCTACACATGGTTAGGGATAACGTAAGTTGACTTGATCGTCATGTCTTTATTATGTCATCGAATAAGAGAAGTTGCTATCTCGTATTGTTACGTTCAGCAAAAAAATAAAAAATAAAAGATGGCCAGATGCGAATCCATTTCCGATTTTTGTAACCCTACACCTCCGATCTGTGATTTTATTGCTTTTTTCTATAACGTCGATTGTTTCACTATCAGTGGTGGAGTTTGCGCTCGTACATTATCGACAGGAAAATATTTTGTTTTCGAGTGGATTGAGGTTACCAGAAGCACTGTTATCTTTCAATTTTATAATTGTAATTCTTCCTCCGTCGAGCTAAAAATACCGATGACATCTGGAATATTACTGTTCGCACTGTCGCGAAAAATAAATTAAAACCACGTTAGTTATGATCCTTCTAAGCTTTGATAATCACGTCTGACCAGAAATTCCGTTAATGTCGCATCCAATTTGCGTCAATCCTAATCGATAATTAGGGCCATTAATCTACTTACACGTTTAATAAAATTCTCTAATCTCGTCTCTACGTACATTCTTTCACCTAAGAGTTAACACGGCATAATCAGAAACATTGGAACAATATATTACTCCGATGATATTTCCCTGTCTGCCGCGTAATTTCGCATTCCACTTTAATTAGGGGAAAGTGCAGTACCCTGCAGGAGCATTTCCGTACACGCGACATGATCTCGTGATACGAAACTACAAACCTTGTACCCAGTTCGGGTCAAAGGCCACTCTGGAGACAGTAAAACGCGTTGAAACTAAGTGTCACTGCAAAACTGCAACTATGTATCCCCAGAGTGATAAGGCGGTCCAGATACGCCGCGTGTCGTTAACGAGATTATCGAAACCGTGTACGACCGGAAGTGGGATATGTATGACACCAATCGATTGCTAGTTGTAATAACAACGATTGATCTTTGAGTTCATACTTGAATACTTTATGAATGGAATACGTAAAAAGCAGAAAAAAAAAAACATTCCGAGCGTTAGAACATATTGTATCATCATTGCAAAGATGACTGCCATTAATAAAGACCTCCTTTCGTTCCGAAACCATAAGGATCCATGAAAATGTCTGATGCCATCGAATCTCCTGGTTTCGTATCTACGGAAATGATTTTGCAAGGAAACTTTCGGGAAAGTAAAAATGTAAAAATTCAGGAAATTGCTGCGACGATGCAGAGCGACAGTTTCTCTTCGATACACGTGTGCCATAGTTTTTGCATACGATTTGCTTCCTAAGAATCCAGATAAAACCTGTCTCCTATGGAGTACTATGTTACCGCGTGCGAGATCAAGAAGGTCTTAAAAAAATCGAGTACGCGTGCGGGGCATATTATGTTTTCAAACAAGCTCGTGTGAACAGTGCTAGAAATGTTGGTCGATAAGTCCAGAGATTTGCAGGTCGTAGGTCGTGCTGAGACAGCAAGTGAACCGGTAGTTCAAACTATAAATGGCTACCGCGTAACAAGAGCATCTTCAGTCCGTGTTTGGTACCAAGTATTCACCATGCGGTCTCCACTAGTGCTGCTGCTTCTAGGTAAGTTGCAGCAATTGTAATTATCACTTTTCATTCAACCATCCCAGCTCCAATACTCTATTCTCATCCTCCCTAAAAAGAAACCCGAGGAATTCTCGATTTTATTGCTAATTTATTACGACCTTTTGGATGGAAATGGAAATTAGAAATGTAGAATAGAGAAATGGCATTGTAACAACCGTGCACACTTTTTCAAGTATCATTCGGTGCCTTCAATGAAAGGAGCTCAAATAATAAATAAGAACTTACTGGAATGAGAGTATTCGCGAAATTGGAAATTATTTATCATTTCGTGATTTTCAGTGGGGGCGGTCGTAGCCGAGCACAAAGGAGCATGGAAACAAGACAACGAGTACATTTACGAAGTGGAAGGTCGAACATTGGCAGGATTTGAAGATATCGGGAATCGATATGCAGGAGTTTACATGAAGGCAAGGTTGACGGTCCAGCCGAAATCGGAAGACAAGCTGCAGGCTGCCGTGACCGATGGGAAGTATGCTCAAATTCACACAGAGTTACCCTCCGGATGGGACATGAAGATCCCCGAGGAGAACCTGGAACTGAAGAAGTTCTCCATATCGGGAAAGCCTTTCGAAATCAAGATAAGGAATGGCGTGGTGGACGAGCTTCTCGTGGAGAAAGGCGTGCCCACGTGGGAGGTGAACATACTGAAGGGAATCGTGAGCCAGTTCCAGGTGGACACGCAGGGTGAAAACTTGATAAAGTCGAGGAAAACCTTGGCACCCGAAGAGGACCAGGCATACGCCAGCTACAAGACCATGGAAGACTCCGTGACGGGGAAATGCGAGGTCCAGTACGACATCGTCACCCTTCCGGATACTATCCTGAAGACCAACCCAGAACTGGTACCGATACCGAAATTAATCGGCGAGGGCCAAATCTACGACATCTCGAAGTTCAAGAACTACTCCAGGTGCTCCGAGCGCGTCGCCTACACGTTTGGTACCAACGGAATGGATTGGGAGTATGGAGTCAGCGACAAAGCCAAATTCATCCAAGTAATTCATCGACATTTTACCATGAATTTCTAGATTCATCCCTTTCATCCCGCCCCGATGAACTAACTCCCGATTTCTTTGCAGCGTTTCTCTGAGAGTAATGTCGTCATCAGCGGAAATTTGAAGTCTTTCACCATTCAGTCTTCGACGACGACCAACAAGGTGTACGTAATCCCGACCCTAAAGGAGGTCCAGCAAGGAATCGTCGCCAGCTCCCTGACCGTCAAATTGTCAGACATAAAGTCTGTCACCACCCCTCTGCAAGCCCTGCGCGATCCTCAGTCCACCGGAAACCTACTGTACTGTCTTGCGAAGCCGGAAGGTGGTGCGGAGTCCCACAGTTGTTATCGCCAAATTCACGAGTCCGGCTCCAGCTCCAGCGAAGAGGGAAGCGTCGGAAGTGGACATCACCACGGTCATCAAGACAGCAGACACGGACCCAGTCATCACTCCTCATCCCATGCTAGCTCCAGCTCCAGCGTCTCCAGCGAGGAGATCCACTGGCAACCATTCCCGAAACTGGACGAGGCACCGATATCGCCATTGGTGTCCTACTTCGAAAACACCGAGGACAGCCACAGCCATGGGAAACTCGACCCCAAGAAAGCTAGCATAGACCTGTCCCGGCAGATCGCCAAAGACCTGAAGAAGCCAAGCGAGATCCCAAAGGCTGAGACCCTGGACAAGTTCACCATGGTGACCAGATGGATCAGGTTGATGAGCGCCCAGCAGATCGAGGAAGCAGCGAACGAGTTGTTCGAGCCCGAATCCAAGGAGAGGAAGGGAGATGAGCACAGACTTCGTCGGGATGCTTGGTGCATGTTCAGGGACGCTACTTCCCAGGCAGGAACTGGTCCCGCTCTCCTGGCCATCAAGAACTGGATAAAGACGAAGAAGATCGAGCGGTTCGAGACGAGCGAAGTTCTGGCCGTCATGTCTAGGACTGCTCGTCTACCTACTCCAGAATATGTGGACGCCTTTTTCGTGAGTAACGCCGCTTGGTTTTTGGACTGAAAACGGGGAATTAAGAGTAGATTAACGGAGTAACTTCTTTCAGGACCTGGCAAAATCACCAGAGATTATGGACGACGAGGACACGAGGGCTGCGGCCATCACCGTGTTCGCCGACCTGGTTCGCAGGGCTCAGATCAACCATCATACCGCCCATTCCCGGTACCCTGTCCATGTCTATGGTCGTTTGAACCCGAAGGTCGTCTCGGCGGTGACGAAGGAGTACATTCCCTACATGGCAGAAGAGTTAAGATCTGCCGTCAAGAAAGGCGACAGTCGCAGGATTCAGGGCTATATCCGAGCTCTCGGGAACATGGGTCATCCTAAGATCTTGGGGGTATTCGAGCCCTACCTGGAAGGAAAGGAACAAGTGTCCAACTTCCAGCGCATGTGGATGGTCGCTTGTATGGACAAGTTGGCCAATGTGTATCCCAGGGTGGCGAGGCCGGTGCTCTTCAAGATCTACTTGAACACTGCAGAGGCCCACGAAATTCGATGCACGGCAGTGATCCAGCTGATGAGAACCAAGCCCCCCTTCGGCATGCTTAAGAGGATGGCGCAGATGACTAACATTGATGTCAACAGACACGTCAACTCGATCGTCAAGTCCGCCATAGAAAGTGCAGCTGAGTCGGAAAGTCCCGAATGGGCGGAATTCGGCAGGAACGCGGAAATGGCCCAGACGTTTTTGAACGACGAAACTTATGGTCTGCAGTATTCGAAGCTCGTGATAGTGGATAGCGTAGACGAGGGGGATATTATGAAGAGCATCTTCAGCTACGTGTCCGACGATGACAACGTCATCCCCGATGCCATCAACTTCGCGTTTCGCAATATCTACGGTGGTTACAAGCTACCATGGACGGAAGTTGCCTTTGGGATCTCAAGTATAAGCGACCTGAAGGACTTGCTTTGGAAGATCGTGCAGAAGGGAGAGAGATCGGAGGAGGATGGGGTCTACTCGCCGGAGAAGCTCGCCAAGTTGTTGAAGATCGAAGGGGACGGCGCAGAACAGGTGGAGGGCAACTTCATCCTCAACAATAAATTGGGCAGAAGATTCATTGCCTTCGACAACCACACCATTGAGAAGATCCCATCGAGTGAGTATCATCTATTGTGACCACGGTTCGCGCGAAAAATGAATTCCTCTTAACTTTTACCTTCTCCTTAATTAATGCAATTAAACGATGAGTTGACTCCTCGCAATTATTTCATTTCCAGTGCTGAAGAGGTTATTCGAGGACTTGAAGGAGGGACGTAACTTCCATGCCACGAAGATGCTTGGGTTCGACACCGTCCTGAGCTTCCCCACCGCCATGGGGTTGCCTTTCGTGTACAACCTAAGGATCCCAACGCTGATGAAGGACGACTTATCGGCGCAGTTGAAGATCACCCCCGACCCCTTCGGCGAGACCAAGTGGAAGAGGCCCCAGAAGTTGGAAGCCGACGTGAAGTTCCGCGCTTTGGCATCCTTAAAGGTCCAGGGAAGGGTGGGCTTCATCTCTCCCTTCGATCACCAACACTACATGGCTGGGGTGGACGACAACCTGCAACTCTATTTGCCGATCCGCACGAAAGCGCAGATCAACTGGGAAAAACAACGCATGGAACTGGAGCTGGGACCAGCCGACTCGAATGTGGGCTACACAATCGCGCACTACAGCACCGTGCCCTACACCGCGAAGCACGACATCCTTTCCCAAAACCCAGTGGTGAAGGACAAGGACACCCACGTACTGCATAAAGACTCAGCGGAACCGAAGAAGCTGTTCGGCAGGGATCCCGATGCCCCCTTCAACGTGGAGTATCGATACCCTGAAGACGAGAGATCCACGCTCTGGCAGAACTCCTTCAAATTCGAGAAATCACCGTTTGCCTTCAAGAACAACCCGATATCGTGGAGTCCGACGGACATCAGGTACAAGATGATAGAAGTCACTACGTCCGCTAGGAAGCCCGGTGATAGCCCCATCAAAGTGACGATCGCCTATGACACCTTTGAGAAATCGTTTAGTAGACGCGGAGGTGCCGACTCGTCCTCGCCGGAGCCGAAGGTCACTTGGAAGTCGGACACGCAGATGGACAGCAAGAACCGCAGAAAGGACCTTCTCGAAAGCGCCACCGATGGGATAGATTCTGCCAAGGGGACGGCCGTCGACGTGGGAATCGAGATTCCCACCGAAAGTGGACCGGTCAGGTTCGTCTTCACGAGTGCCGTGGGCTGCAGCAAGGTAGACAGGACCTCCAAGGTCCTTTTCTACTCTGCGATAAGTTCTCCTCCTAAGGAGAATGTCGGCGAGCTCTGTTTTGCCCTCGAGTCCAGATCTTCGTCTCTGCCCACCTTCGACTACGACAAGATCATGAACGCCGACGTCAGCAGAGACGTCAAGGCCGTCATTCGTTTCGGGGAACGCTGCGAAACCGACGCGAAGATCACCATCAAAGGAAACCAACGCCAGACCGATCAGTACAAGAAGTACGTCAAGAACTCGCTGGCGGAGGCGAAGGAATGCAAGACGGGTGGGAAGAAAGGAGGAATGCAGACGAATTACCTGAAGACGTGCGAGAAGTACATCACTTCCGCCCTCAACATGGATCGCGTGGACTTGTCGGTGAATCTTGGTGATCATCAGACACCGGAAGGCATCAAGGAGAGCATCCTGCATCTCGTTAAGGAGGCACTAACTTTGCGCTTCGAGGACGCCGAGTTTGGACCCTCGGATCCAATGAACGAGAATAAAATCGAGCTGGAGATCGACATGCACCCCAATATGCAGATCGGCAACGTCACTTTCAGGACCCCGAAAGTCACGGAATCCTTCTTGAACGAGGAATTGGAAGAAATGTCCATGTCTTCTTTGTCTGCCCTACCGACGACCGAGCTCTTCCAGTCTGCCCTTGTCGAGGGACAAACCGTTCCCAGTGAGTTTCTTTTACCCTAAATGTAACGATTTATCGAGTTTCATTGCACCTCCAATTCGTCATTTCGTCATCAGCTATCTTGGTGAGTGGAGTAATTAATACATGAAACGGTTTTCCAGGTTTCTGCGAACTGGACGAGAACGCGGCCAGCACTTTCGACGACTTGACGTACCCCTTGAAGCTCGGCAACTGTTGGCACGTCGTGATGACGACCTACCCCAAGGAAGATCCCGACGATCCCCAGAACGATCTGAAGATCCCGGAGGATATGAAGGTCAGCGTCCTCTGTCGGGACATGGGTGGCGACAAGAAGGAGGTGAAAGTCAACCTTGGCAACATGGAGATCCGTCTGGCTCCTGAAGGTGGAAAGGGAGCTGCATATATCGGCAACGAGAGGCCATCATACAGCCAGAAACAAGGTTATCAGTACAAAAAGGACGGCAAAGTGTTCTTCGAAATTTTCGAGCTGCCCGATGGATCCGTCAGGTTGTCCTCCGAGAAGTTTGGCTTCGACGCCGCCTATGACGGGGCTCATCTTCGAATCAAGGTGAGTCTAATTATCCTTAATCATTTCTGACACTTCACAATTAAAATAAAACGCATGAGTTATCAAAATACAAGGACACATTATAATTAAATAAAATCCATGAGCTATTAAAATACGAAATTATCAGCTGTCATAAATAAAATTTCCTCGATTTTTGCTTCTTCCAGGCCTCCTATAAATACCGCGGGTCGATCCGAGGTCTCTGCGGCACATACACAGGGGAACCGTCGACGGATTTCACCACTCCTCAGAACTGCGTCCTGGAAAAGCCGGAGTTCTTCTCAGCAACGTACGCCTTGACCAGTCAGCAATGCGAGGGGGAGGCAAAGCAGAACGCCCAGATTGCTCAGAGGGAGCCTTGCATTTCGCGGAACCCCCGACCAGGAAACGTCATCAGCGACCACGAGGCTGGTCGAGGACCAAATCCTGCTGAGAAATGGGGCAATTCCGAGGGCAGCAAGACCAAGCAATGCCACACCCACAGGACTCTCGTCATCGAGGAGAACAACGAGATCTGCTTCTCCGTCAGACCCGTTCTCCAGTGCAGGAAAGGATGCACCGAACAAACTAAACAAAAGTCAATACGGTTCCATTGCGTGCCCAGTGGACCAGCTTCCCAACAGATTGCCCAGCGAGTCAAGCAAGGGGCGAATCCCGACTTCAGTCAGAAACCAGTCACCAAGACCGTCCCCTACCAGATGCCGATCGACTGCGTCGCCTGATCAGCTGATCGTCTCGTCAGCTGATCACTGACCCCGACCACGGATATATCGTTCAGTAGTGTAAATGCCTTTGTAAAATAATAACGTTTTTTTCATAAGTTTTTTTTCGTAACTTCAGTCATCCCCTAGGAAGTCGTCTCGTAAGGAAAGTGTCCCAGCTGTATCTCCCTACTTTTGTTAGTCTTGACATGTAGTACATCGAAAACCGAGAGACATATTTTTTTATACGTGCTAATTTCCGAGTTTGAGGGGTGGAAACTACCCCAAAGTTGACCCTTAAAAATGGATTTCTGACGTTTCCTCGTAAACGGAATAATATTTCTCGACCGGACCACCTGTGATTCGTTCAGTTTAGCCAGAGATTTCAACAATATATTGTAATTAATTCCGTTTACGAGAAAGTATCAGAAAACGGTTTTCAGGGATGGGTTTTACTCCTTAAATTCGCGAATTAGCACGGACAAAAAATACGTGTCTCTTATTTTTCGATGTATTACGGCTTATGTTAGATCCAACGAAATTAGCGAGGTACACCCGGGATACTTTCCTTGTCAGAGTCCTGCCACGAGGCGTCCCTAATTCTTGCGACTTTCGTGGGATGATTGATGCCGCTCCGGAAGAAGTGCGGTTGCAGGCAAAGGGAGCGGCAAAAAAAGATGAATTTGTCGGAGAGGGAAAGAAGTTTCGGGCAGTAAACTGCCGGTCTATTAGGAGGTGGTTCGGGGGTGGCCTCGTTTGCTTGACGAGGTCCTGGGTGGTGTTTTTGCCCCAGGTTCGTCCAGCGGTTTCGGACCGCGAGATTGACCAGCGGTATGCGAGTGGCAAACACTGTAATCAAACACGAAAACGCTTGGACGATCGGTAGCCCGCAAGAACCAGTCAGGACCACAAGAAATCCTCTCTGTGCGGGATCTTGCGGAAGGGATGGTCGGTGGTCGACCGAGGCTCGGATTTCGAGGAAGCAAAGACAGACCTGTAGAGGGATGCAACTTCGAGCTTGCAAGCAACGCTCCTAAAACCCAACAAACGAGCAGGAGAACCGCTCGAGTGTTGAACTTGCCAAGTTTTAACACTAGAACTACCAAGACGGGTCAAATGACATGTTTCAAATGGCTCGTCCTATACAAAAAAATCTGCCGGTCGTTCTAGGGTTAATAAGAATTATTTCCAGAGCTATCGCGAAGGGACCCCATAATGGCTCTCAAGAAGGGCGGAACTGCAGCATCTCAGAGAGACTTAAGCAGATCGATCGTTCTCGGAATAATTGGGGTTCAATTTTTACATCTTGATATTTCTAAGAAGCCATATCACTCACGAGCACTTATAATGCAGGTTACGAGACTCGAGCTAATCGTCTTTCAATTTTAACGAGCACTGATAAAAATCGACGGAAATTGACATACATTTTTACACACCTCATAACTTATGTTTCATATAGAAAAACGTAAAATGGAAGAATTACAAATTAGAAAATGTATAAATACACCTAACATTGTATATTTACCGTATTTGGGCGTTGTTACTTTGATTTAGTGTCATATTACGTTATAATTTTCTATAACTTAACTCAGATGCTGAATGTGATATTATAGAGACAATGCAATTTGACTGCAATTTATCGTGACACCAAAATGATTATGTAAATTTACACGGGCATTTTTATCAGTCGGCTCTTGCAACGTCGGTACCGATCGTCACTTATATTTTACTTTTTAATAGCTCGAAGAGGTTTCAACATGAATAATACAAGTGGACTCTATAAAATATATATATTCAGGGATTCGGTTTAGGTGAATTATATCGTCGCGTTCCCTAAATTTCAAAATTTTCTGGAGGGATATCCATGGAACTTTTTGATATGGCGAATTGTCCGAGCCGATTTGCAATTCGCGTCCTCCCAAGGTTACTCATCGTGCAGAATTGAAATATCTAATTTAGCCATTAAGTTGAACGAACAAACTACTTGACCGCTGACACGGACCTTGTTAAAACAGTCCATTCTTGGGATCCAGAGATCTTGCTAACAATGTGGATCTCAACGTGGGAACTACGCCAGAAAATTAGATGAAAAGGTTGATCGCGAACTCGAAGTACGTCGACGATGTAGATAGACAGGAGAGGGAGTCTGAGATAATAAAAGAGGTTTTCAAAGGGAGAATGCAGCTGCAGGAACGATATGAAGGAAATGAAAGACTACGTAGAAGGAAGGTCTTATTTCGTATCTGCTTTTGACTGTAAGAGACAATATCGATGGATCGCCTGAAGGCGGCACGTAATAAGAAACATTCAATTTTGTTTAACATAGCCGTGCTGAAATTTATTACGAAAAGTAATATTTATACAAATTAAACGAGAATTTACCCTCTTGAAAATTGAAGTAAAATCCTTTTGGGATCTAATTTACTGGATAAAACGATTAAGGTGAAGTGAAACCCCCTTCAAATCGGTCGATTTCAAATACAACACTTTTTTTTAAGGGTATGGACCAAACTGTTCGAGACTTTGATACATGACTCGTGATCATCTAAGAATTCTCCCCACGCATTGAAAATTTGGATTTTTGGAACAAATTTTTTAACTTAGCCCAGACCAGAGCCAAAATGGTGTCGAGCTCTCATATTTCGATCCATATACAATTATCGAAGGCTCTGATATGAGAAATGAAGAGTCAGGGCAATTTTACGACAATTTGGAACACTCTGGTAATCGATAGACTCGCATTTGAACGGGATAAAGGTAAAAAAAAGTGTTTTATACGCTTCTATGCTAAAGCGATGGGAATACGAGGTCTGGGAGAGAAAATTTAATTGACCTGGAAATCACAGATGGCGCAGGGGGTCCCTCTGCAGTCAATTAGGGCCCCAGAAATCATGAATTCGGGGTATTTCTGGAGTTTTACTTCGATTTCTTTATAATTATTGTACGAAAACGATAGGTAGAGTATGCCATTTAGTACAACACCCAATATAATTCGACACAGCTGTCAATATAAAAACGAACGTCGGCAACGCAGGTATTTAGAAAAATCTTCTTGATCGACGTCGATCAAGTTCCTCGACGTGTTTCACATCACCTTAAGAGTCGTTTCACTAATCAGTCGGGTACAAACTCAAGATAACCCGAGTATTTGCGTAATGTCTTATTGTCTTTTCGATGCGATTGTGCATCGCCGGAAGCGTATAAAGCCCACCCAATACGTTTCCGATGCCGAGCAACCAGCTCCGGCGAGATTTACCAGAAATCCTCTTCGGAACAAGGATCGACAGTCTTGCAGCTTAATGTAGAGTCGGCAGATCCTCCCGGATACGCGGTATCCCTTTCCAGCAGAAACTTCATTTCGTCCCGTGGAATATTTTATTTTCTGGAAACCGGATATCATAACCCATCCCTCCCGGCCGGGCAAGTTGTCGAAGCCGCGGATGCCGCGGATCATATTTTAAAATACTTAGATTTTTCCGGGCGGAGAATTCCTGGGAGAGACATTCCGTTATTTCCAAGCCGGGAAATGTGATAAGAAACATAAATGAACCAAGAAATTTGTAATTCCCCTTAAAATTGATCCTACAATTCATTAGACATACATCTCCAGGATCTTTCTCCGGAATAAAAATGGTGGTTTTAAGTCACCAATATTAATCCCAATTTTCGGGGGTGGATTTGAACCACGCATCCCGGGGGTGAATTCAAGCCACATTATCTGACCACTGTAAACTCGTTACTTCCCTTTCCAGGAACACCGGGAATGTTCGAGGAATCGTCTGAGGGAATTGATGAGCAGGGAATGGCCGAGGGTGAGTGATGGCGATGAGGGTGAGAAAGTTCGGCGGGGTTCGAAGGGTAGGTCAACGGGGGTAGTTCGCGAGAACTGATAATATAAGTTCCCGGCAAGTTTCGACAGATGAGTTTTCGACGCAGATTGCGTTGATGACGATGACTGGGGCAGCTCGTCTCGAGCCTATTTCCTCCCAACCCCTCGTTACTTGGCACTTTACGACCCCTTCGTGTCAGTGGATCCTGAAAGCCCCGAAAATTGAAACAACGTAAAACCCAGGCATTAGCAAAAATCCGGCGTAATCAAAGGGCTGGAATATTAATCAGGGAAATCGTGGTCGGGCAAGGCCGGGGATCGACCCTCAAAGCCGACACGATCACGAAATTACGAAATTCCTGCAAGTTCAAAGGGGCAAGGAAAGCAACGCGAAGGGTGGTGGGTACACATTCGCCACAGTGCAGTTTCGGAGGCCATAAGAGTGAACCTTCGGGCGAATATTTATTTCACGAGAATGCATGACTTAAATTAAAAATACCTCCCCCCTTTAAGCCCCTTGTTGAATTATTCCGAATTTTTTTTTTCGGGACCAACGCTTCCGGTTCTACGCGGTAATAATGAGAAAATGGAGGCTAAAAAAGATGGTAATAACTGCACAATGGCCGCTTTTCCTCCCATCTCTTCCACCCCCCCCGGGATTATAATATTATCCCAGGGAAAATGGCGAATGTTCGAGGCAGGAGTTGAGAATTATGCGCATCGATCGATTCATTCTTAACCACCATCGACCACTGTGGAAACACGCTGCAATTTCGGAAGAGCACATAAGGGCGATTCGTGCACGGAATTCGTGAATAATTCAGGTTTGACGGTGCTCAAAGGGGGGTGGTGGGGTGCGCCGGGCCGGAGGGAGGGAACAAATGGAATACGGAGGAATCGAAGCAGGAAATTCGTGTTTTGATAGTCCCTCCCGGCTTGACCCTCATCCGGAATCATATGATATCGTGATCGATTTCCGCCGATGGCGGTGCTGATCCCGCAAAAATGCGAATCCAGAATGGACCGCTGCATTGCCTATGAAGAAGGGTCCGTCCATAATTTTCAACCTTTCCATTTTTCTCACAAAAAATTGGTATAATCTCCTCTCGACATCAGCCCTTTGAATTTTGTAACATATGATCCTTTACGAAGCATTTACTGAAAGTACAAAAATGTTATAAAAATCGTCCGGTGGCCTGTTTTATAATTATCAACAGAAGTTAACCCTGAATTAATTTGGATTCTCTCGTAAATGCGATTATCCGTTTGCACTCTGCCTTGCACCCGTAATTTC